GAAGTCGCGCGGAATTTTAAACGGCCAGCGAGCCAATTACTAGCCGCCACGTGTGAATAATTTAGCACTGGCCAATAGCGGGGCACTAATTTGCATCCGAATAGCGGGAACTCTTTGCACCGTGCATTTCTGTGCTGCAAAGAAGAAATGCATCCTGCAAAGGAAACTGCAAATTGGCGGGAACTCTCTCCTACATGCGGGTTCTCAATTGCAGCAGAACACTCTGCTGTGCAAAGGAGCTCTCATGTGGCCAAGAAATTCCATAGTGCCGAGGCACAAAAAATCACTGGGTTGTGACACATGGCACCCCCCAGAAGAATCAGCTGCAGCGATCGGCTGTCTTGTGATTGGCTGTGGGGGGACTCCCTCCCCCGCTGAGTCAGTGGGATTGGCCATAGGGGGACCCTCCCTGGTCGCTGACTGGTTGCTGGGGGGGCATGTGCTCCCCTTGACTAAGGCGGCATCAGTTGCCCATGGTACTGTTGGTGGCAGTACTATCTTACGGTGGGGTAACTGTGATTAAACACACATATAGATGCTGACCACAGGTATAAATTGCACCCGAACAGCCCAGCCACCAGGGGGCCGGAATCCTGCCTGCTGCCTAGCCACATGCCCCTACACTTTCAGCACTCTTGTGCCCCAGCCAGCCCCTCTGCCACCTGACACTGCCACCCAGAGCCTGGGGCTATTGCCCCATTCTCCCTGCCAGCCTGGGCTTGCTATGCCTAAGCTCAAATTGCTGCCCTCCTGGGTGTAAACCCTGAGCCCAGGAGCAGTTTAGTCCAGCTCAAACTGCTTCAGAGTTTATTGCTTTGAAATAACTGCATATGTACATGCACCCAGTAAGTGAACTCAGACACCTAAGTGGCTGGCTCCTCCTCCTGCCTGTTTTTTGGGTGGTTAGTTGACAGTACATTATAAAAGCAGATGCATTAATGGATTTTCAGGACTTGAACTACATGGAATAGAATTGCATTGTGCACCTGGGACCACTAAGATACCTAATAGTGAAATAGATTCTGGCCTAGGAATCTCTTCAAGATAATTCTGAGGAATTCTTCTCAGTCTCTGCTTCCCTCCATAGAAGTGCTCAGTTTCTTTCTTCTCTTGCTACTTTGCCTAAGTCTATACTTGGCTACACTGTCAAAAGGCAGGGTAGATTTGTACCTTATGGACTAACTAAACATAAGATGTACAGAATAAGTTTTTGTAAGCTCTGGGTTTACTTTATCACTAGATGCTGTGAAGGGACTTCAAGAAGCAGAGCATCTAAACAGAAAGCAGTGATTAGAATACAAAGCTATCTACCTCTCTATACTGGTAAAGCTAGTGCAGAACTTATACCAACAAAAGGATAGTATAGCTATGTTAGGGCTCTGATTTGTTTTGGAGGGGGTTGGGGGAACAGGGGAGTGGAAAAAGGCCTGCTAGCCTGGCTATTGAGGTTAATAAACTTTCACAGCATAGATCTGGCCTCAGATGATGAGGATGATTAATAACAATAAAGCTTTTAAAGCACAGTTTTGTCTGAAGGTGCAGTGGGAGAATCTAAAACCTATAATACAATTTAAAATGGACTGAAAACCAAGGGATCTCCTGTAAAATAGAACTGTCAGGTGGCAATGAATTTTGAGTCCCAGAGTCATTCCTAACTGCCAAAATTTGTTTTCATTTAATTTCTTTACTAGTTATAGTCCTTTATTTAACCCAGTGATTCCCAAACAGTGGGACATGACACACTGTTGTGCGTTAGAGCGACAGAAGTGTGCCACAAGATCCCACTGTGTGAAGAGGTAGATGCTTTCTTCCCCCGTCTGACACCCTGTACCTGCCCCAGGCCCTCCATTGGCATCTGTGACTGCACCTCTGAGGAATATCGATGCTGCTGCTGTCTTCCCCCTGGGCCAGCCCTCACTCTCTTATACTTCCAGCAGCACGTTTTGCTGTGAGCAGGTGGATACAAAGATGAAGCTAAGTTTTGCAGCCTGGCTGGCAGGAGGGGTTATGAGGGTGCTTATTGGTATGTGAGACCCTGCAGAAGCACCAATATTTTAGCCTCTAGGGCCCCTTCTGTATCTTTTCTGAATAATAATCTTTTCTCGGTGATTTTTTATGGGGGGCCATGAAAGCTAAAAAGGTTAAGAACCATTGGTATAGAGGAGGCGTGTTTAACCCTTGGTCCACAGGCCAGAGTTGGTCCCTGCAGGGCTCCCTACAGATCTGGGACCTGATTCTGGTACATGGGAGCCAGGAGGGGGCAGTGTGGGGCCACCCAAGCTGGATCCTGGCTGGGTGGGGGCAGTGCAGGGCCTGATCTGACCTACAGACTGGCCCTGCACCATTTCTCTGGCTCCTGAGCACTACTGGTATAGATACTAAGTCTTCACTTAAAGAAATATATATTTGGTGTCAGCACTGGTCAGATTTCCTTTGGCAGGGGGGAAGGAATTCTGTTATGTTTTGAAAAAAAAAAAATTTGGGGGGGGGTGTAAGAGTAAAATGTGCCACCGGTTCTAATCCAAACAAAAACTGTGCCTCTGGTATCAAAAGTTTGGGAAACACTGATTTACTCAATACATCAGCATAATCTATAAAAACTCTCTGTCTCTCTACAGTTTAATTCCATGAAAGAATTTTTTTTTCACTAATCTCATCGGTGGAGAGAGAAACTCAAGTGTTTTGTCCTACAAAGTTAAACATTTCAATGTTTTGCCTTCCCCAGGTGTTTCCTCTTCAATGCTGTGCTAGTCACCCTAGGAAATTTTCAAGAATTAATAAATACATACCATGGAGTTTGGTATCGATGAGTGCTCTTATCTTCAGCAGCTTGACGAAATAATCCATTCTGTCAAAAAAACAAAACAGCATGTTACATTGTGAATTTTCACATTACAGTTGTTTGCCCCTCTCAAATTAGACTGGGAGGGAGAAACAAATCAATTAAGAGACTTGAAAACCAGGAAAGAAATCTCTGTTTGCAGGTAGAAATAATTAAGAAATTGTGGTTCTTATCTCTTGGGCTGTGAAAGTAATTTTGGCTCCTTTAAAAGAGAAAAAAATTAAGATGACAAAACATCAGTGGGGGTATATTTTTTCAAGCTCTCATCACTGGAGCGAAGTTATTTAAGTGTTAAGCAATTATTTGGTTCATCTAAGGGTCATGCATGGGACCTGTAAAATTGGAAAGATCAGAAGTTCACTAAAGACAGTTACTGAAAGTATGTGGCAACATGTGGCCAGGGCAGCAGGTAGCAGGACATCGGAGTCAAGGAGCAATCTATGGCAAATGGGAAACCTCAGTTAATAGGAAGTTATTTCTAAATTAAATTAGCTCAGCAAAAACACCCTCATTTGCTACAGTCATTTTGAGGAAGAAGGAACAACCCCTAAGCCCTTTCATTTTTACATTAGGAAGTCTTCTGAGTCACAGGTTTGGTACAGGGAAAGGCTTAATTGGCAGGGAGAATGGCTTGCGATTCGGATGTGGCAGACCCCAGATGCAGTCTCCCAGTGGGAGAGTGGAGGGAGCGGGGAATAAACCCTCTCCCTGCCCTCTTTGCCTTAGAGGGCCATGTTGGACAGCATCTGTCTATGCCCCTGCCCCTGCCCCTGCCACTGGAGCAGCAAGGCAGAAGGGGCCCTGATAGGGGCTGCTGTGCCCTGGCCTAGCAGACCCCGATTGGGGTCACCTGGGGGGAGAGGGGAGGGAGGGGGGAATAAACTCACTCCCTGTCCCCTTTGCCTTACAGGGCTATGCCAGGCTGGCATCTGGCCACACCCCCTCCCCTGCTCCAGCTAGAGAGCAGAGGTGGGGCCAGCACTGCTCACTGGAGCAGGCAGCTCAGCCCAGCCCAGGGCTGCAAAGCATGCTGGGATGCTGAGTCACTCTGATTTAACTTAAACCAGGAAGAGGTCTGGGACAGAAGTCCCCTAAACTGGTTTGACCTTAATCAGGGAAGACTATATTCAACCAGGTTTATCTTAAACCACTTTTGGCCATTTTGAAACTGTTTTATATGCACTGAACTTCTGTTCTGTTACAGGTTAAACCAGTTTCTGACCACTTAAACCGGTTTATGTGTAACTTCTGTCCCTAGCCAAGGTGCAGCAAAGTAAGTTTAGGTTAGATATTAGGAAAAAAAATTTCACTCAGAAGGTAGTAAAACACTGGAATGCGTTACCCAGAGAGGCTGTGGAATCTCCGTCCTTGGAGTTTTTTAAGACCTGGCTACACACATTCTTGGCTGGGATGATCTACTTGGGGGGATGGGTCCTGCTTTGAGCAGGGGGTTGGACTAGATGATCTCATAAGGTCCCTTCAAACCCTAATTTTCTATTATTCTATGATTTTATATTTGTGTTTTTGAATGCTCCTCCCAAGGTGTAGCACCTTGCATTTGTCTGCACTGAACTTAATCCTACTAGCTCTAGCCCAACTTTTCAGTCTATCAGGATCCTTCTGAATTGTGTTTACATCCCCTAATATGTTCACAACTCTTCCCAGTTTTGTGTCATCTACAAATTTGCTCAAGAAGCTGTCTATGCCAGCATCTAAATCATTAATAAACATGTTGAACAGCAATAGGCCCAGGACAGACCCCTGTGGAATTCCATTTGAAACTTCCTGCCATTCTGACATGGACCCATTAATAATTACCCTTTCCTTGCAGCTATTGAGCCAGTTGTCTATCCACCTTATAGTAGTTTTAGCTAGGCCACATTTCTCCAATTTGTTTATGGGAAAGACGTGTAGGACCTTGTCAAAAGCCTTGCTGAAATCCAGATACTACACTTGATTTGAGCCTTCAAGAGGCTGAGAAGCGATTTTTTTTTTTTTAAACTATATCCATACCAAAAAATCTATCCTTTTTTTACTATGTCCTTTTTTAATTTTACTATATCCATAGCATTCTTTTCATCCACCCAAGTAGTTACTTTGTCAAAAAAGGAGATCAGGTTTGTTTGACACATTTTGTTTTTCATAAATCCATTCTGGCTGCTTGTAATCAGCCTTTCTTCCTCCAGACGCTTGCAAATGGCTTTCCATAGGATATGCTTCAGTAACTTCTTGGGTATTTAGGTGAGGCTAACCCATATGCGATTCATAGTGGGGGCACAGGGGGATACGTGCCCCCCTTAAGACTGGCCATCTCCAAAGCCACTGCTGGCATCTGCAGGAGGTCACCACCACCCCTTTGCTGCTGATGCAGCTGCCAGTGGCTGTGGGTGGTCACTGCTCGTTGCCCCCTGCTTGCCACCCCCCCCACCTTGCCCCTGACACTGCTGTGGCTACCTGAGTAGTCCCGGCGCGCCCCGCCATCACTGCGGTTGCCTGCGGGTAGCTCCCACTCACCACCACCATACCCCCACTGCCGACACTGCCACCGCTGCTGCCGCCTGTCGGGGGTCGCCATGCCCCCCTACCCCAGCCTCCGGGGGCACATATCATTCATGGGCTAACTGATCTGTAGTTTCCTGGGTTCTCCTTCTCATTTTCTTTAAAGAGGGGCACTACATTGGTCCTTTTCCAGTCCTCTGGCACCTGGCCCATCTCCCATGACTTCATGAAGATCATTGCCAAAGGCTCTGAGATCTTCACTGCCAGTTCCTTCAGAACCTTAGGATGAAGCTCATCCAGCCCTGCTGACTTGAATTCATTCAGATCCATCAAAAGCCTTCTGACAGTCTCTTTTGTTAGCTTCTCTCTCATCTTGCCTCCTTCCTTATCCAGATAATCCCTATTAGTGTCCAGCTGCAGCTTAATTTTTTTAGTCTCAGACAGATGTGACAATTTTCACCTGATCTGGCCCCTGAAAGTGCACTACAGCCATAACCAAATGCAGGTTCATGGCTGCAGAGTGTTTAAAAGGGCCCAACTCCATGACAATCGGAATCCTCATTGCATGAGCATTCAGAACATCTTCATTAATGTTTGTCAATGTGTGCTGGGAGCAGGGCTGGGCTGACACAGCCCAGCCCTGCTCCCAGCGATGTCTTCATAATGGGAGGTAGGGAAGGGAACAAAGGGAGTTTGGTCTGGGGTTTTTTCAGCTGGTGCTGGAGGGTGGGATGCATAGATTAGAGGCCCCTCCAAGGTGGGGCTCCAACAGTTAGGAGTGGGGAAAAGTGGGGCTAAGGGAGAGAGGCTGCAGGCTCACAGCTTCTCCCAATTGCAGCAGAATCTCCCAACCCCTGGGACCCAACAGTGCAGTCTGTTGGGTCTAGGGGATCACTGTAATTCATAGTACTTCCTACAAAGTCTTGAGTTACAGCACAGAACTGCACTTCTGTTTATGCCATTTGTGAAGACCAAAGCAAAATAGCTGTTGACTAGCTCCACCTTCTTTGCATCTTAGGCCCGGAGTTCCCCCTGTCTTCTTGTTGTTCCATCCAGTCTCCTTAAGACACAGTAGAACAGCACAGGCTGAGTAACCTCATTGAGGGCCTGTTTTTTGGGGAATTTTGGGGAAGTCATGTAATAAATAGGGGAATGGATAAATGATGTATAAACAGTACTCTTTCTAAAAGAAATTAGAAAAGATGTGGTCAAGGTCAGGCTTTTCTTAGGATCTCTTTGTTATATAAATAGACTTTTTGCCTATTGCTTTTAATCTTATGTATTTTCCTGAGTTTTGCATTGCCTTAAGAAACTCCATTTTGTATTGCTCTGTAGCTTTACATAAGTGCTCGACCTTTGTATGCTGTATGTACAAGAGAATGGCTGAGAGCATGTCTGTGGAAAAGGAAAACATCAGCTGGCAACTGGCTGAAGAATGCAGATAGATAAAAGACCAAAACAAGAAGAATGTACCCCAGAACAGCAAGAGAACAACAGCAATTGACCTTCAAGGAAGAACGCAGTGATAACACAGCAAAAGCCCAGACGACTGGGTGAACTGACAAAGCTATAAAAGACAGAGTGAGATGTATCGATTTCAGGTCTTGTTCTGCATGTCATCCTGGAGCATTGGTTCATCTGACAAGATGGACTGGCAGGAACCTGGCTCCTACTCATGATCAACTTGGCTGGCCACTAAGTTGATCCAAGCACTGATAAGACTGGTAACATATACCAGAACAGACATTGGGGTATGCATGTGGTGTGTGTGTGTGTGTGTGTATTAAGCGCTTAATCAATAAACATGGCATCTTGCTTTATCCTCCCTCATAAGGTCTCACTCATGATTTGTGCAATTGGTAATTTGTATAACATCTTCTGGAAGATCAGCTGAGGTCCCTCCAGGAAAAAAAAGCTGACGCAAAAATGATGGATGGATTCTCTTCCTGTTTACAGCTTCTTGTGAATTAGTCTTAAACCTAACATGATGTGTTGTTACAAAGGCAGGCATTTTTCCAGGGAATGTCCACCCTATTCATGGATATCTGATAAGGGAGTAAGTCTGTTAGATTAGTTAAACTATATTTAGCTTCTTTTTTGCCATACACATAGACAGGAAAAGAGAGCTAGTGAAGGGGACAGGCAGGGTGCAAATGTTGAGTCCAACTCTGGTTCAAGTGCCCAATTCCACTTAGGTGGAATAAGATCTGGCCCATAATCACCGTAGCAGCAGCAAATGGTACTGTACAAAAGTCTAACTGAAATCAGGCCCCAGTGGTGTATAAACTGAAAGGAAACAATTCCTTCCCTTGCTTTGCCTGCTGCAGTTTAGAAAGTGATCTAAGGCATGTATGTGTCTTGATTAGGACATTTTGGACACCAGTGGCCACATCTATATGAGTTGCTGACTGCAGTAGCTCATTACTACTGCACAGTAGTTTGTTACTACTGTGTCATGCTTCATGCCACACGACAGTACTGTGCAGTAGTAACGAGCTACTATGTAG